GAGTGACAGTGAAAAGCTGTTCCAAGTCAGGATTCATTAAGGCAGGGCATCATTAGGAGAACATTCCACCTATGAAGGGAGCAAGTGTTTTGCCTCCTTTCAAATTATGGCTAACAAGTGAATTTTAATAGCTACCTTTCTGCTCATAAAAAAGCAAAAGAAGAGGGAAGGAGAGGAACTGGAGATGCAACCAGAGACTAGGAGAGGAACCATGTTTTCTTTCATTTTGTATTATTTCTAAGGCCAAGATTAGGATGAGGTGAGTCTGCTGCCCTAGGTGCAAGACTCAAGGAGGCACTTGCCCTGAGGGCTAGCATTTATATGACCCTAAAAGTGAGTGTCTTAACTTTGCAACCTGGCCATCCTAATTATTCCACCCTACCTCTGGCTCGGACTCCAAGAGATTCTGATAATGAGAACTTTTTTAGAATTATTCTATCCCATCAAGATAAAGACAACTTCTTAACAGGTGGAAGCCAAGAATTTCATTTTGTAGACTTTCCACTCATAGTGTTTGCAGAAAGTTTCTTCTACAAATAAATGTATTTAAAAAGTCAATCTAAAAAATATTAAGTATCTCACAACATAGAAGATGTGAAAATATGGGGGGAAATAATGAACAGGCTTCCAGAATGACAGCAGTTGGGGAAATAATGCTACCTGCCTTTCTTCTTTGGTTCCAGTATCAAAACTTGTGAAGTAATACCTTGCCTGAAACTTATTTCCACTGTACCATTTTTACACTATTAATTCCTCTATACCATATCACACTTATAATATCATATTTCAGCCTCCCCATACCCAAACTCTGTTTACAGAAATGCTAGGATATAATCATTATTATCCAAGACACCCCAAGCTTGCTTAGCCAGGTTATCACCCTCTTGTAAGTGGTTTAACTGCATCTTACAGTTGTTATTTTTTTTTTTTTTTTTAATCTCACCTCTCCATGTAGAACATTTCCTGAGAACAAAAAATGCACTGATTCATCTTTGGGCAACACAGAATGCATAACACTGCTTCTCACATGTGACAGACATACAGAAAATGTTGATTTCACTGAATTTATAAACAATTTGTTCAGAAGATACAAAAAGGTCAGCAGGCAGGATACTACATTCATCTACAAAGATGTTCCTAAGTACAGGAGAGCAGGGATTTTTAAGGGGGTAGTATCCCCATATTTTACCATTTTGGGGACAGAAATGTTATTACGCCTATTTAAGCTAAAATAATCTGTATTTTCTCTTAACCAGAAGGCCTTTATGCATACTAAAGCCATAGACCTCCAGTACATCAATCTAACATATACTACTAGCTGCTGTAATGTCTGAAAAGCAGATCATTCACTGTGCCACTCATAATTTATTTACTCAGAAACATCTTATTTCAGAATGGATCCTATGAAATTTATATAAATACACATGCCACAACAAGATAAAATGATCCATCTGATAGAAGAAAGGAGAGGAATGGAAAAAAAGAAAACTAAATCTAGGAAAGAGAAGCTATCCTTGGAGTGAGGTACTAAATTAATATATGCTATAAAATTCTGCACATTTACTAGAGGAAGATCAGAGGTTTAACCCTAACACTTCTAGCAGGATAGTCAAATCAGTTATATATGATTTAGCATTCTTAAATCCTCTACTTTAAGCATATCTCTAGATAAGACTATGGCACAACTGATGAGAGTGCAGATTAAAAACTCCCAGATAAAGTTGCCTAAATAATCTGTCACGGTAACAGCTTTTAAAAGGCAGAACAGAGATTCAAAGTCAGTTCTCAAGCAAATGTTTACACTATTATCTTGCAAAAAAATGATGCCTTTACCTGGGCCTCTCACCATCCAGTCTGATGTAAATGCACCTCGTCTGTGTTCCAATCACACCCTAAGCATGTCATGACTGTAATTTTTGATATACAGAAATTTGTATACACACTACACTGAAACTGCGGACAGAATCATGTCTCATTCACCTTTGTATACCTAGTATGCTATCTAACTAGCTAGATTAATATGCAAACTAATTTACCCAGTGGTTTAACATAAAAATCACCAAACTGAAGGTCTGAACTAGCCACATAAACTTAGGAAGGTCATGATTTCTCCAGCCATCATCTTATGTAAAAAAAAAAATTGAGTGAAATGGATATACAAGGCAGCCTTGGTCGCTTCTAGATCTTAAAAATAGGACAACTTATAGATGGCCCTGGGGTTTTTATGTCTATCTTATTAATTTGAATTTTTAGAAATAAAATTTAATTCTTTTATCTCTATTTATCTCTATCTTGTACAACTCCAGTACTAGGATACACACACACACACACACACACACACACACACACACACACACACACACACACAAATATTAGAGAGTTCAGGAAAATCTTCCCCCTTACTGAAAAGAGATGTAGCATCTATACCAAAATCGAACAGTGGCACCCTCCTCAGGTGAATGTTACAGGAGCTACACAAAAGAACAGAATTAGATAGTGAGACTTTCTTTGAATGAAAAAAAAAGCAAGAAAGAAATTACCAAAGCGTATTTGTTATCACATTTCTAGTAAAAATTAAAGAACTTGGGCCTCCCCGGTGGCGCAGCGGTTGAGCGCTGGGTTGCAAAGCTGCCCGCGGCCTCTGTGGTGCCGGTTCGATCCCTGGCTGCAAACTGGCCTGAGGAGAAGGGTCCCACATGGCGCGCAGACCTCTCCTGCCGCCCGCTGCTCAGCACCGTACTTTGGCAGTGTACTTCGGTCCTTCTGCCTGCTCTGCTCCCGGCTCTGGCTCTGGTGAATTCTCACCCTCCCGCACTTCTGACTCTACCCAGTGCATGTATAAACAAAACAAACAAACAAACAAAACATGCCTCTATAAAAAAAAAAAAAATTAAAGAAATCTTTTTTATAGCACCTTATTTTGCCCGAAAACAAAGCCAAAGCCAATGAACTGGCTTCATACTGTACGAGCTACAAATAGAACAATTATTCTCTCTTTAAGAGAGACAATATTGTTTTGTAAACAGCATGTGTTTAATGTAAATCAGAATGAAAAGCATTTGTATTGTTGCTAACAAAAATCATCATCTCTTTATAAAAAATTTTAATGAAAATTCCTATACATGTAAAAAGCTTGTAGTTAAATAAAAGCATTTATCACATTCCTTTTTTGGATAGTACATTTATCAGAAGATAGTAATTTTGTTTCAGCCTAAAATCTGCTTGGGTCTGCAACTTTCAGTTTTTAGTATAGCAAAAGAAAAATTGAAATATTCCTTCACTTGCATGTGCAGGTTCAAAACATGCCAGTACAGTAGATCCAGACAAACACAACCCAAAGTTATACAACAGAAATATTACATCCAGATCTTTAACCTAAAAATAAAACTGTACTTGTTAAGACCTGAAATAAATTATCATCTACCAACAAATTTAATGTGAAAATAATGTTATAACTATAAACTTTATTTAATGATTTATAACAATTTAGGCACATAAAATGATAATACAGACATTCTGATTCCAGCCAAGAAAACATTTCACTCATTATACTGGCTACCTGGTCATTTGGGTATGTTTTCATCGAAGTATACAAGTTAACTTCACATCTCTAACCTACCCTGTGACTCAGGGGAGAGGAACACCACACCACAAAAGAGACTACAAAATTACAAGTGAGAAACCTTCCTTTTGAAAGAATATAGAGATGGCTAAGGTGAATTGAAAACAGCAAATATTTGATTTCACAGGTCTACCAAATACATTTTCCAATTAAGTTTTTATTTCTGGAAATGTTGGTTCTACAAGGGATACAAGTAGTTATCTTGGAAAGATCAGCAGAGTGAAAGGGTAAAGTGACAGATTCAATAACAGAATGCAAATAAGATAACCAATTAAAAACTTTCTCAAGGTTCACCCAAAATAAAGGACAAAGAACAAGCAAATGCTTGAAAGAGAATGGCAACCCTAGGGAGCATCCAGAGACCAGACAGGCCAAGAAGAAAGAACCAAGTTCGATGGGAGCAGGAGAAATGATAGGGTGGGCATTGAATCCGGGAGAGGGAGGCAGAGAAAGAAAGCGGCAAGGAAACTCTGTTACAAACTGCCCTGAGAGAGGGGTGTGTGGCTGGTCTGAAAACAGCTTTTTGAAAACAGCGCTCCAGCCACATTTTCCATTTACTTCGCCAGAGCAGATATTACCTCGCATCACCGGGGCGCCAGAGAAAGGCAGAACAAGGACCAGCCTCTAACCTCATCTTCCGCTTCCAGTTAAACACCAAATAAAAGCGCTTAGTAGCTAGAAGGCATAAGCTTCCCCCGCACTGGCAAGGTTCTAAGGGGAGATGCAGGCACCGACGTCTCTGCAAATGCCAGAATCATTTCCGTCCCGCGCCACAATTCCGCTAAAAGAAGGCGACCAGAGAGGCACTCCAGCCAACTGGCCAGGTGTCACTTGCAAGGTGAATGGAGAGAGGGGGGTGGGGGGAGGCGGAGCTGCCCTTTGGGTTCCTCCTCGGAAGAAGGAGATGAGCAGTGTTCACAAGTTCCTTTACTCTCCCTGAGCCCTCACTAACTGGACTCTGAAGATTTCATCTTTTTCCCCTAATGAAGCATTAAAGATATATTCTTCCTTCTTTATACCTAGATGGGCCTCTAACCCTAGAACTGAGGTGCTGATCCCCCCCGCCCCGGTCACATTCACTGTAAAAACTATCACCTTGCCCCGCAAAACTAACACTCATTTATTTGCTGGATTCAGGCCTTAGGAGACCTTATAAACAAGGTTTCCTAATAGAGCCTGGGTGACTCTCCCTCCCCCAAACTGGACCCTCAGCCCAAGAGGTCTGCATCCAGTCGAGTTCTGGGCAACTTGAACTGCAATACGGCTTTGTCCAGCCAGGCACCAGGTCATTTCCACGCCCCTCGCACCCAGGTCCTATCACAATCAAACAGAGACAAACAGACACACATACACACACTCGGCCCCAGCGAGCTCCTACCTCGCCCCCATGCCCGTCGAAGATCCCGAAGATAGACGGATGCGTCTTGTTCGCTAGGTCTGTGAGAACTTCGAAGCGGTCCTCCATGTGGTCCCTCCGGCCCTGGATCGAATACACCGCCACGTTGTGGCTCTTAAACTCCCAGGTCTTGGAAAACTCGGCTTCCAGCACGTCGAGCCCCCCAAGCCTATCGTTCTGCATGATCTCGGCCACCTTGCCCTTCACCATCTTCACGGCGTCCCTGCTCGACTTGACGATGGTCTTCACCTCGTCCGTGTGGAAGAAGTAACTCCACAGCGCCAGGCTGATGCACAGCAGGAACAGCGTCTCGGGTCTCAGCAAGAAATAGCGCATGATGCGGCCCAGCAGAGACAGCAAAGTCATTGTATCCTCTATCATTTATTATCGCTAGAGCCCCACCACCAGCAGCGACGCGCGCCCGAAAGGCTCCCCGGGTCCCGGGCACGGCGGGGTCCACGGCGATGAGGGGCGGAGAGCAGCGGCTGAGGGCGGGGGGAGGAGCGGACCGCAGGACCCGGCTCGCGGCGGGCGAGCGGGCGGCTCCCCGGGGAGGCAGTTTCCCTTTTGTCTCCTCGCCCGGGCGGCCCGGAGGCCTGCGCTGGCGCCCCGGGGCTGCTGCTGCCGCCGGCGCCGCCTCCCTCCCCGACTCCCCTGGGTGAGGTGGCTGTGGAGGCGGCCGCAGCGGTAGCAGCCGCAGCAGCAGCCGCTCGAGCCCCAGCCGGGAGCGGGCGGTCAGGTTAGAGTTGCGCCGGGCGGGTCCGCGGCGGCGGGCGGGCGAGCTCCGGGACGCTGCCGCCCGCGCGGCCCTCCGGCGGCGGCCCCTCTTCGCTCGGGGAGCGCGGGGCAGGTGAGGAGGCGCGGGGCGAGCGCGCGAGCCGGCGGGCTAGGGAGGCCGGTCCCCCTGCGTCGCCGCCGCAGAGGTGACAGAGCAGCCGCCGAGGCCGCCGGACGCCGGGGTGTGAGGGGACAGAGAATAAAGTTTCGCGGGAGCCTGGGCAGAGGCGGCGGCGCGCGGAGCCCGGTGACGTAGCACGGCGGGCGCAGAGCCGCGGGCGCCCGGCGGCCGCGCCAGCCCCGCTCCCCGGCCCTCCCGGCGCGGCCCCGCTCCGCCTGGCCCCGCCGCACGCTCCGGCTTGCGCTCGGCCTGCGCAGTCCCGGCCCAGGGCGCGCTCGCCCCGCCCCTCGCACCCCTGGAGCCCGACCGAGGCCCGGAGGAGCTCGCCGAGCTGTCAGCGGCTGCGCGCGGCCGGGTGCTGGCGGCGCGCTGCGGCCTCGGCGGCCCCGGCTCCAGAGGGAGAGCGGGAGCTGCGTCCGCGGCCCGAGCCGAGTCAACGGGCTGTCGGGTCTCCGCCGCGAGCTCCCGGGACGGGATAATGACGACGGGCGGGCTGAGGGCCGGCTTCCCGGAAGTCCCCGCCGCCGCGGGAAAGCAGAAGGCCGCCCCCCCGCCCCGCCCCGCCCCGCCAGTCCGCGGCGCTGTGCTGCGATCCCGCTTCGCCCGGCATAAGGCAAGCGAGAAGGGACGCTTTTCTCCGGGCTCGCAAAGCGAGACACAGAGGATCTGGCGGTGCTCTGTGACCCCGTGCTGCCCAAATCTCTCTCAAGGCAGAGGGAAAGAGCGCGCCGGGGGCCTAGCGGCCTTGTCAGAACATCTACTGAGAACAGCAGGTTGTGTGTGAAAGGTCGATGCGGGGGCCAGGAATGAGGACGCCCACATAGAAAAAGAGAAGAGGACCCTGACACCAGGACCACTGACCAACGCAAGAAAAATTACTTTGGGCTGGTCAACCACGGGTGAAACTTGCAAATCACTTTGGGCGCCAAGCTGTTATAGAGCAACCCCGATATTAAACGGGTTCCTGGCTGTGGGTCCTCACCCGCGTGCTTTAAAGGGACTTATGAATACTCTACTACAGACACACGCAAAAGGTTAATAAAAGATTTATTTACAAAAAAAAATAAAAAAAATATACAACTCAGGGAAAAAATAGAAAAATAAAGTCTTTAATACGTCCTACCCGATCCGACGACCTAAAAACCCAAAGTCACTCTCTGAACTGGCCGGATGCTGCGAGCTGGTGGAGAGCCAAAATGGAGAGCCCCCCAAAGCCCACGTGTCTGCCTTTTGTATCCACCTAGCTGCTTAACCCCATCCTCAGGTCCCAGCCACCTTCCCTTTGGTGGTGATGGGATTTGGAGTTCCCAGTGTCTTTGGCTTTGACCTGGGGTGGGGGTGGAGTCCACAAAGCCTATATGGAATTTGCTTTGGGACATCCTTTTCCCCCTAACAACACCACCAAGCCTAACTGAAGCCATGAACAGGAGAAAACAACTCGGCTCCACCCAAAACAACTTTGTTCCGCCTAAACCTGTTTCCCCTCCCCCCCAACCCAGTTTTCCTGCCTGACCTTGCCTCACCCTATAAAAGGGACATCTCTCCCCAGAACGGGCTCGGCTTCACGGACCCCCACCTTGGGTCCGTGAGGTCCGCCCGGGACGCAATAAATTTTCCCTTCCTTTGAGAAATTTAGCCTGGCTCTCCTTTTCTTTACCCCGCGGAACCTTTCATCGTGGACTTAGAGCCACCTGGAAGTGCTCTGATGATCAATAATCTAGGATGCCTCCCGGAGGCCTGGGCTTCTGTGCCAGCCTCCTGCCCCCTCCCAGCCCCCAGCAAAGGACTTAGCTAAGAAGGCCTTCTTAGGTTTAAATCCTTCCACAGAGTGAGCCTATCGGTAGACACCGCCCCCCACCCCCTACTTTAGGCCCCTCCGGGAGGCAAGGACTGGCTCTGCTGTGCATATTTAAAGGTCCTTCAGGAAGCTTCCAAAGGGCATCCTCCTGCTACCTCCTCAGGGCAGAAGGTAAAGGAGATTGAGGAGTCTAGAAAAGCAAAAGTGAAAAGCCTTGAAGGATAACTTACTCAAATATGGGCAAGTGTCCGACGACCTTGAAAATGTTGGAGAAAGAAAAGAACAAAGTACAGTTCAGCTTAGAATACTGAAACAAGTGAGCTTTAAAGGAGATAGTCACTCTTGCTATCCCTGCCCAGGAAGAATGCTATCTGCAGCTTCCAGTTCCTTCATACTATGCTTGATCCCAGCCGAACCAGTGTCCGTCTCCCAGAAGGGCTTCTTCCTTGGTGTGATACTGATAAATTAGCTAATTAATAAAAATAAAGGATTAAAATACTAGAACAAAATACACCAAAACATTCGCAATGGTTAAACATTGTGGTAGATTTTAGGTAGTCTTCGTTTCTTGCTTGGAACTTTCGTCTGATTTCCTCGACTTTTTCAGTTTCTACAAAAAGCAGAGATTGCCATCAAAAACATGAAAAGTGAAAACTTTGGCATCTTAATGACATATACAATATGATGTCATGCATAGAAAAGACAGGAAGGGAATATGAAAAACTGTTAACAGTATTTTGAGAATAGGCTATGTTTTTCTGTGTTCTTTTTGGTAATTTTTCCACCTGATAAGAAAATAAATAGTTTTAAAATAAGTGATTTTTGTTCAAAAGTCATGTAATAATAAGCTTTCAAAATGACAATGAATTCAAAAGCTTTTAGAAACAATCAAATAGATAATACATTAGTGTTATAGTAAAGGTAAGTGTTCTAACTGTAAATTAGCAAATGGCTTTTGGGAGTATGATCAGACTGTACATGAATCTGTTTTCTAAGGCAAAGGCAAAATGCAGATAAACTGATTGAGACTTCAGAACTACAAATCAAATGGAATAAAAAACTACAGGGCCAGGCTGATAGCATAAATGCTCATGAGAGGCATGTCTTCTGTTTCCTCCATACTCAAAGAAGGTAATAGGACTATACTTCTCTCTCTGGGGGTTAAATAACAAATGGAGAGCTTGAGTTGATTAATAAGCCTAGATATCCTGCAAATTATTTGAAGATAATACTTTGACATTTACATTTAAGGATTTGTGTGAAAATCAATAAAATGATTTTCCAGCAGACCCTGTGAGTATTTTCTTATTTCTATTAAAAAATTCATGTAGTTCATAGTAATTTCCCAAAAAAAGCCCACATAAGCTTTTGTTATGGTTTACTATGAAATTTAATATATTTGAGAAATAAGAAACTCTAATGACCAACTGGCATTTGCATATTCTCTAAGATTATAATTTCATATCTATTTCCATTCTCATGATAATCCTATGAGAAAGCTAGAAGAATTATTATCTCTTTATAAATATGAGAAAAATGAGGCACAAAGATGTTAAACAAATACCACAATTCATCAAATAAATTGGAAATTCAAACATGGTAATCAGTTCTTCTGACTACCAATTCAGCACTCTATCATTCATTGGATGTCCAATAATAGAATGATTAGTTTAATTTTTATACTTCTCTAGTGACATTTCTGTAGATCTCTTATAGAAACCTGAAAAAAGAATATGCAGGTAATTAATTCATAAATCTGACTTTAACCATTGGGATAAGCATTGTACTATGAATATTTCTCTCACCCACTGAGAATATTTGTGGTGCAGAAGACCAGTGAAATCAAACTGTCCTTAGTCTTTACATAAAAGCCTAAAAGATTTGTTGCTGAAGTAAAGTGTTATATGAAATTCACAGGGAAGAAAGAGTGCCATATTTGCTTTATCATTATAAATGACATGGTAATGAATAGAGTTAATTGAAATCCAAGGATTTCCTGAGATAGATAATAGTGATAAAGCAGTTACCAGGTAATAACCATTTTCAATTATGGAATTAAGTCATGTCAGCATTGCAATTTTATAAAGAACATAAAGTATAGCTTTTAAAAATAATGTATTCTCAGGAAAACCTTTCAGGGCTCCGAGGTTTAATAAGTCTTTAAAAATGAGTTTTATCACTACGGGATTTGCACATCAAAGACATCTTTACAGACACATCACCCAAAGCAGTGATAGTGAAGAGAAAGATAAACAGCTGGGACTACATCAAATTAAAGAGCTTCTGCACAGCAAAAGAGACAATAACAAAAACAAAGAGAAACCCCACCAACTGGGAGAACATTTTTGCACCCAACACTAATGATAAAGGACTGATCACAAAAATCTGCAAAGAGCTGATGAGACTCAGCAACAACAAAGAAAATAATCCAGTCAAAAAATGGGCAGAAGAGCTAAAAAGAAACTTCTCTGAAGAGGAAATGCAAATGGCCAACAGACATATGAAAAAATGTTCAACATCACTTGTAATCAGGGAAATGCAAATCAAAACTACCATGAGATACCATCTCACACCAGTGAGAATGGCACATATTAAAAAAACTAGCAACAACAAATGTTGGCGAGGATGTGGAGAAAAAGGAACTCTTGTGCACTGTTGGTGGGAGTGCAAAGTGGTCCAACCACTATGGAGAGCTGTGTGGAGATTTCTGGACCTACTAAACATAGAGCTTCCATATGATCCAGCAATTCCACTCCTAGGTATTTACCCAAAGGACACAGAAACATCAATTCCAAAGAGCACCTGCACTCCT